AACACCAGTTCTTGTGGCTGGGTAGAGTTAGTAACCTTTTGCAGGCTGTATTCTTCAGTGCTGGGATCCAAGCTTTATTCAGTTTTAAACTTTCTTCTTCTTTTTTTGTTGAAACTCTGCTGATGTTTATGGATTTCAATGGCTTCCCTGTGCAGTCTAACAGTGGTTGGTGGTGTTGTCTAGTACTTCAGTGTTTTGAAACACAATTTCATGTCCAGCATGTTTTAGGGCATGTTCAGCTACTGCGGATTTTTCCGGTTGTTTTAGTCTGCAGTGTCTCTCATGTTCCTTGATTCTGGTGTGGATGTTTCGTTTTGTGGTTCCAGTATATACCTGGCCACAACTGCAAGGGTGTTTTGTTTGGGGAGATTTGTTCTTTTCTCCTCACAGTAAGTTTTCTCTGTGCTATCTTTCCCATGAGAAAAAAACAGGAAATCTTGTGGGTGTTCTTCAGAGTTTTGTGGTCATTTTTTTTCTAGAAGAAATTCCAAGTCACACAGAGTTCCTGCAATTCCAGCACAGAATAGCATCCTTTGTCCACTGGATTCAACTGGAAAGGCCAGAAGAAATTCCAAGCTGTGTATGGTGACAATTCCTGTGCAGAATTAAATATTTGCTGTGTAGGACTCACCAAAAGCAGAACATGCCAGTTTCCTGCACAGAAAAATGAACAAAAAAGGGGGTGGAATTAGCCTAGGGTTTTCTTTTTGTGAAATGCTGGGAAGTCTCACTCATGCAAAAGAAAGTTTTGGTTATGTTGGTGTGGTTAAAGAGCAGTCATGGCAAGACTCAGAAATCTAAGTTTCGTTTTAATTTTTAGTATTTTTCGGATCCCTAATAAGAAGGTGGGACACTGAGACAGGAGATGACGTAGCGTAAACTGAATGGCGACTACCGGTGAGCTAGATCTAAGCTTCAGACCAAAGATTCTCCATCACTGTGTTAATGCATGGTAGAAGAAGACATTTTATGAGTTTGTCACAACCACATGACTAAAAATGTAAGGACACTAAGCAAGCCTTTCTCATCCCAACCTTCTTTGCTTTTCCAGAAAGAATAAATTGCAGAGAGATTAACATCTCTATCTGCTGAGCGAGGAGCATTTTCTTCTTAAAAGCTGTTCCATCTGGCCAGCCTAGAGACTTGATTTTAACTAGAATCTTTCAGCTGTTGCCACGTGCCACACTTCCAAAAGCAATGGGGGAAAGATACTGCATATATTAGGAAAACTAAACTGCTGACGTAGGTCTGAATTTGAAAAATGAGCTTCTGTATACGCAATGGCTATTTCTCCTGAATTCACAAAACTCAGCACAAGGAAAACTAGGCTGGGTCCAGATAAGCAGTTCTGGGAGTAAAAATCTGTTTCTAGGCCATGCAGAGGAGGTCACACTCTCATAAATAAACCTTCTACTGATTTCAGTAAGATAAAAATCCCTGGCTAGGTTCTCCTGTTTTGCACAATGGAAGCCTTGAAGTTCCAAAGTGCCCTCTTTCATTGATTACCTAGAACTGTTCCTATGCAGAAATCAAACCATAGGGATATAACACTGTTAAACCTGGGCAAAGCCATTAGCCAGTCCCTCAGAGGCAGATGAATAACTGCTTATGCTCTTTAGTTAAGGTGAACAGTGCCTCAATTTTAAAACAGTTTGATTTATTTTCCTGGCATGGCTCATGGCTGAAAGGCTCCTGTCTGCACTTAGCACAATATAACTACAATGAGAGTAAATCACCACATTTACAAAAAAAGGAAAATCTGCTTTATGAAATAGGATGCAGACTTACTCGGATCCTCACGCAAAAGATTTCGCTAACTAAATACAACTGTATTTCATATCTGGATGATAAAATGCAATGCCCTATATGGTCTTCATTATATTCCAGTGCAACCTGATTATTATTATTGAGGGGAAAAACTGAAAAAAATGGTAAACCAAATGCAAGGTTATACAGTATAGAAATCAGAAAATGTTTAATTAATGTTATGTTTTCTTATCTTAATGTCTTCAACGACTTTCATATGCACTTCCGATAGCCCTGAAATAGAGGCTACCATGCTTTACTTCAGATAAAGAGGCTCAAGGTTAGGAACCACACTATCTGGGTTGTCCAGGATATCCAAATCTTTCTGGTATAATTCCTCTGTATATTCTTGCCACCTCTTCTTGATGTCCTCTGCTTCTGTGAGCTCTTTCCCATTTTTGTCCTTTATCATGTCCATCTTTGCACAAAATGTTCCCTTTATAACTCTGATTTTCTTGAACAGATCTCTGGTTTTTCCCTTTCTATTAGGAAGCTAGGAAGAAGGCAGTTTTAATAGGCTGTGTTCCCAGGAGGAATTGAATCAATTTGGGAAGTGTGGTGCGGACTGCAACTCTTTGTGCACAATGGGATTAAAAAAGAGAGAGAAACCCAAAGGCAATAAGTGGAGAGAGCACAAGAGCAGTTTCTTTACCTCCCATGAAATTGCACAGCAATAGCAAAATATTTCCTTGTTGTTCAGCCCACCCAGGCTTTCTCTTCTTGGCACCAGCAGCAGCACCACTGCTACCACCCCAAAGAGTAGTGGGTCAGGAGAGTGTAAAGCTCTCAACCCGCGCAGATATACTGGCTACTATTGTCAGGCTTTTTCCCAAAATGCAGTGGCAGCTGGTACCTAACCAGGCTGGCAGGGGTGAGGTTTCATGTTATAATATGGTGTTCTCGGCCAACATCATGTGCTTTATGCAGGCTTGGGGCGTTTCTTGACACCACTGCTGCTGAGGTGAGTCGGGTACATTCTCTTTTAATCCTAGGCAACATCAGAATTCAGCAGCAGCAGATTTGTTTCAGGCCCTGGCAGTTGCCTCCTGATCCCAGGTGCTTGTGCTGGGCCTACTCACTTTTACCCATTGCACTACATCTGCTCCATTGAGATTGTATCTTAGGCCCATTCCTATTAGTGGCTGTTCTCTCATCAACATCTACACATAGGCATTGCCTGGCTGTAACTTGAAAAGAAAAGCCTGTATGGCAGATGAAGAAGTCTCGCCCAATCCCACATTAATGTCCGTTTTGGCAAATGGAAGCCTAATAATGAGACAAGAATTCTGTATTCTGTTGATTGCTGTCCGAAATCCTGCAACTTATTTGCAAGATGCATCTGGAGAAGTGCTGAGTATCAGAAATATCCCATCAGTCAATGTCTCTGAATATATTTTACCATAATGCATCGTAAGCAGTTGGCGTTAAACTAGCTGCATTCTTGAATTACAATTTGCATTGAAGATCTACTTTAAGAAAAGATAAATGACTGACAGTTCTTGTAGCACACTTACTTATTACTTATATTTACTGTAGCTCCCAGGCACATTTAACTGGAAATAAACCCTGCTGAGTGTGAGAGGTATTTCTCCTACCTGAGCATGTATACTTGTAGCAGAGAACATTGGTAAGCAACCTATCCTGCAAACATGTTGTACTGAAATCCCATTAGCTCTCTCCAACAAACCAATGATCAGCAACGATGAAAGGTACAGTCTTAGATGTCTATGGAGTAGTAGGCTGCCTGCTTTGGCTTTAAGGAAAATATTTGTGGTCTAAATCCAACACAAAGTTAGCAGAAGAAAACAACATGCAAGTTAAATTTCATAGGTTCCCACTTGACCAAGATGTAGTGTATTTATGTTTCTTCCTAAACATGCCATTGATGACACTATGGACAGGCTATCACAACTAGATGCACAACCAGTTTGCAACTAAAACCTACACTAGATTCCTCCTCTCCTGCTCATACTGCCTAAGTGAATATTTGGGCTAGATGTAACTGTGAGCTCCTAACTAGATCTGCTGGATAGATCAATAGTTTTGGTGTGGTTGGGAGTTCAATTCTCCACTGTGCCTCCTTGACAGGGTCTGGACTTAGTGATCCATGAGGTCTCTTCCAGCTCTGCAGCTCTAAGATGATTAACATGATTTTCCAATCAGTGCCAGTTGTGTAATTAAACACATATGTAAAACTCCATTCAATGGCTGAAATGTCACTTAGCTTCATAAGTTGCAGTAGAGCGAGTACATTGAATCAATGGGGATTTAGTGAGTCATCTCTGTAGCTTCTATTGAGCCTGCTTGTGATTTCTATGTTAAGCAACAGGATTCAGTCAGTGGGTCCACTCTAGTTAAGAGTAGTAACTGGAGTTAGCCCATACTGGATGATCACAGACTTTGCATGCTTATTTTCTAGTATTCTTCTTTTGCAAGATTTGTGTCAGCTCCCACACACAGAAATTGATTGTATTCTCTGAAAAGAATCATCCTATTTAAATACCAAAAATAAGGCTTTAGTAAGGCATCAGGAGGCCCTTGAAAATTTTTTAGAAACCAACTGGTACAGATCTTGACTGAGCTAGTTTTAAGGATTCTTATTAATTTCTGGTTTGTCTGCAGGCTGCTGGTACGTATCATTAATGTTCTTTAAGGCTTGGATATGAGATATTAATACCTGATGCCCTTTTCTCATGTAGCATATCCAGATACATGGAGATCTACCAGTGAACATTTATTGCAAACAATTTTTTCATGTCCTTTCCTCTGTTGAGCACTGCTGGGACCACTACAAATGTATGAGGAGTTGGGAATGACATTGGAGATACATGTATGAAGAGGAGCCTGCTGTGAGAGATGGATTAAATTCTCTCTGGATCAGACCGTAATCTATTCTGGGAAAGGACTCAGGGGGGGGGGGGTCACAATGCTTGCTTGACATCAAACTTTGTATTAACAAGGTAGAAAATACAAATTTTGGTGGCACCATAATTACTGTCAGGATCTGGCCCACACTGCCCTGGCAGCTGCAGGATCAGGGCAAGCCTGACCCAGGAGTGATCTGGTGTTTGCAGGCTCAGGCCCTGGCCTGTGTAGCAGCTGTTGGGCCACTCACGAGGCTCACCTGGAAACCTGGAGGGAAGTTCTATTTAAGGAGTGGTTCTCTCTCCCAAAACCAGCCTCAGTAACAAAGGTCTTTGGTTGTGTTTATTGCTCCTGAGCTCCAGAGCCCCTGTGTTCCCTTATTCCTACATCTCTGTGTCTTGACTCCAGTGTTCTTGTACTTGCTTCTCTTCTGGCCTTGCCCGTTGCTCTTGTCTCCTGCATCTTGGTGCCTTGTTGTGGCTCTGTTCTCCCAACCCTGTGCTTAGTCATGATCACCTGCACAGTGAGTACCTTTGGACTTGATGCTCTCCATGGTGGACTGGGTCCTGGTGCCCTTGCCCCTGGTGAGAGGCTGCCTGGGATATCTTGGACTGTTACAATTGCAGATCTCTATCAGACATGAGTGTATTGCCTGTTTAAAATGGACTCCAAAACCTTTCCATTCAGCAATATGCCAGTTTGGGTTACAATGATTATTTCCTATTGCTGATCAAAGCTGTAACTTTTCTGTTTTGTATTGTTTATTATCACTACTGCTTTTGTTGATTTTTATTATAATGAACTAATTAGTCATGTTATTGTTCCCCATCACCACACTTGGAAATATTTTTCTGGGAGTTTTTAATCATATATTTTACAGACTATTGTGAGGGGTTGGGGTGGAGACAGACAAGAAAAAAATCACCAGATGGTGCCATTTCACTGTCTGGTATGGATCTTTACATCCAATCAATATGGCAATCAAATCCACATTGTTGTTTTTTTTAAAAATCTATGTTATTGCCAGGTTTCTAATGCTGTTTCTTTTCAGAGCAGCATTATAATAAATTAAATATTTCTTTTTTACTGTGATTTCCCCTCCCCCTGCCCCTGCGTCTTATATAGCTGCCTTCCAGATTTTGCTCTGTAACTGTTTCTTATACCTAGGTATATATTCTTAAAACATGATCTTTCTTCATTTCCCTTTAAGGATTCTCTTTACTGCCATTTCAAGCAGAAAAATATTATTCTAGCTCTCAGTGACTTTGTGCTAGCAAGCCATCTGTCCCCAGCGTGCAAGTATCAGGCAGCTAAGAGTAATTTTTTTCAGGATCAGGATGACACACCTAACTGAGGGACAGTTGCCTAATCACAGGTATCAGGCAGCTGAGAGGAGAGTAATTTTTCTCAGGTTCACACACCTAACTGAGGGACAGTTGCCTAATGACAGGCAGCTGGAAGAAGCGGGGTCAGGGAGAATGAAAGGGCAGGACTGGAAAGGCATGGGTTTGTCACCTCTCTGAAGAAGAGGATGCAAGACAAGACAACACTGGAAGCTGTCTACCCTCACCTTGTTTGTTTGCTTGCAACAGGAGTCAGACACCAGAGACTCTAGCCACATGCTTGGATAAGGCTGGTCACTGCCCCAGGCCTGGAGAAGCAAATGACAGGCATGCCATGGGACAGGTAGAGGTGAGCTCCAGAGTCTGACTTCTTTTGTTCATTTATACAAGCCTTCCTTGGACCTAAGCTCTCCTTTCTGTTGTCCAGAACCTGGACTCCGAGGAACTCCAGTGAATGTAACTGGATCCCCAAATTGCCAAGTGATACCCAAGGGTTCAGTGATTGGGTTAGGGGAGGCAGGGGGAAGTGACACTATACCACTAATAGAAACTGTCCTGAGCCAAGAAGCTGAGCTGGAGTCACTGAATTTATTTCAAGCTACCCTGGACCTGCTGTTGCTACAGGAGGAGGTGCCAATGAGGTGCGTAATAGCTGTGTTCATAATCTGGACCTCAGAAAGGTGGGCACCTCAAGAAAAAAAAACTGTATGACTTTTTAAAAAAATCTTTAAGAGAGTGGAGGAAGCAAATGGGGTTGAGTGACTGGGATGTTTCTCTTCTAATCTTAGGTTACTTTTTATCAGGGGTGCTCACATCCCTGTGGGTTGGGGGCAATGACTCAAAAAACAAGCTGGAGATGGGTTCATTTGGGGGGGGGGTTCATGATAGTTCGTGTTCCTTGCTCCGTGAGTAGCCACAAGCCATGAATCATCACAAACTTTGGGTTTATGCCCATCTCTAGAGAGCGCTCGTGTATGTTAAGAATGTTTGTGGTGTTCTTAACTTGCTTGCACCTTGTATCTTCTGTAGCTCAGTAAGTATAGTTATATATGGAAAATTGTATATGTAATATTTGAATTTCATTAAAATTGCTGAGCATTCAGTTATGAATTTCCACTCAAAATGTATTATTACTTCAAAAAGAGTAATGTATTTTTAATTTCTTAAATAATCATTTTTCACATTCCTTCTTTCTTTGCTTGTTTGTTTTAACTGTTACAATCAGGAGCCAAGGCATGACTGCCTCTTAAAGAGTTGTAGGCTTTTCACAATAAATAAATTAGTCATTCAGGGAATTAATCATAACAGGCTATCAGTAGTAAGGGTTGCCATTTTATCAAATTGACCATCATCCATAAAACTAACTTTTGTTACATTAACTGATATACTACAAAGTATCTGCAGCATGCCACAGTGCCAATGGAGAGCACAATTAACTTGGTAGTATGTCCAGCGTGCTTCTTTAGAATAAAAACATACTGCAGGGGTTAACCTTTTTAAAAAAGCCTGATAAAGATATCAGAATACAGTAGGATGCCCCTATTGGTGGGCTCAGTATCCACTGATTAACTTAGCCGTGGTCTGAAAAATATTAAAAATACTAAAAGAAAACCCCAAAAATGTTTTCAACTATGAAGTTACCAAAACTAGCCATGAGAGGGAGCCAGAGACCATGCTATGTATAGTATTTGTTATTATAATAGTATTCACTATAATCTGTATTTTTCAGCATCTGTGGGGGAGATTACTTGGAATTGAGCCCTTGCAGATATGAAGCCCCTACTGTGCTCATGCTTCACTACACTTTTATACTAATGAATCAATCCCTTGGACAATCATCTGCCAGATCTGCTTTGATTTGGATTTCTGCACTGAGCAGGCGGTTGGACTCAATGGTCTCATAGGCCCCTTCCATCTCAATTTTTCTATGGTTTCTTATCAGCTCCCCCCCCCCCCCAAGACTGCTGAGGAAGTAGGCACTTCTGCAGTATTATATGCATAGTGAGAAAGTGGGAGTCCTAAGAGAGGGAAAGATAGAGATGAGAAAGAAGGGATGTTCTTTTTCAGAAAGACAAGACTATGTGCTGCTCTAACAGGAAGAGGAAGGGAAGTGATTGGCAGGGTCAATGTTAGTACTGTAGCGCAAGAAAAGGGAGGTCAAGAAGGTCTCCCGGTGTGTGTGGAGCTAAGCTGCCTCAGCAACAGGGGAGGAGGAAAAAGTTGTGGCTCTTTCCAAAAGAAGCAAATGACACTGCTACCACCACATGGCCTGATCTGGACTCTTCCATGGTGGAAAGCTAAAGGATACAGGAGATTCTGGACCAAATCGAAATCTCTGGCCAGTGTATTTATTGCCTCCTCCACACACTAATTATTGCCAGTACATTTGCAGTATTGTGTCCATCAGCATGAGACTTACAGTTGATTTGTGCATGTCTAGGCCACAATATTGATACACCAATCACCAAAATTCTGACAATATCTGGAAGCACACTCATATTAAGGAACTCTCCATAAAGTTCTGATCCAAGAAGCTGCAGCAGTGCACCTTCTCTTTGAGTGTTGCACCACTTGGTTACATAACTTTGTCACAGTGCTTTTCAATGGCCATAAAGGTAAAGCTTCCCCTTGACTGTTAGTCCAGTTGTGTCAGACTCAAGGGTGCGGTGCTCATCCCCATTTCCAAGCCACAGAGCGAGCGTTTGTCCGAAGACAATCTTCCGTGGTCACATGGCCAGTGCGACTTAGACACACAATGCTGTTACCTTCCCACTCAGGTGGTACCTATTTATCTACTTGCAACAGGAGCTCACTCCGTCAGGTGGATTCGATCTTACGACTGCTGGTCTTCTGACCTTGCAGCACAGAGGCTTCTGTGGTTTAACCTGCCGCGCCACCATGTCCTTCAATGGAAAGCATAGTTTAAAACTATCAAATATATTCTGTTCTGAACTTCTGTCATATTTAATCTAAATGCATTCTGTATTCTGTAATATACATGGATTTTAAATTTGTTCTGTCATACCCTAAAACAACATTGTCTCATAGCATTGGAAATGTGAGGAAATAATATATTCAATACCATTTGAAATAGCATTTGCATGAAGGTGCAGTTCTGGAGCTCTGTTTTGATAATGTGTTTCTTGTTACTCCTAGACCATCAGGCCCCTTAATTTCCTGAGAGCAGTGAGGTTAATGATTTACATGAGTCTCACCCCATCTGTGGAATAATAGAGACAGGAAGAAGGGAAAAAATGTACACATAAAGAAATGAACATTAAATTATTGTTTTTATGATAGCAGCAGAAGCAGAACTAATACTGGGGAACTTTAATCTATTCTACATTTATCAAACCATGAGATTCTGATGTATGCTGGCATGTAATGTGTACAGACACATGTACCATCAAGCAAATGATCAAGAATATAATTTGGTGTTTAATTGTCACTGAATGGTAGCCATCTGATTCATTAACCACTTAATGCAGGTATGTTGACCTGCAGTGAAATTTTATAAGTGTTTTATGAGTAATGAGAGCTGCAGCGGAATTTTCTGTATATCAAGGCTGTATCCTTCCAGATGTTGTTGAACTACAACCCTGAGTAAGGGTAGGTATGCTGGCAAGGGTTGATCAGAGTAACAGATGAATAATATATATAGGCCCACATGCAGTATATACAAATGATCCCGTTCTTGCATTGGACCACCGTCATGGAGAAGAAATAGTATGTGAACTAAAAGAACATATATTTCTCTTTTCCAAACACCAAGATGGCCATTCTTTCTGAATTGGCAACATAACTACGTAGGGTATAGTGCAGCCTTCACTCAACTAAGTGTCCTCCGGATATGTTGGTCTACAACTATAATTGTTGTGCATATTGGCTGGATATGAAATTGAGAACCAGGTATGCTTGTGAGTAAAATTATATGGCTAAAATGGTAGGAACACTAATTAATCTCCTTCCCTCTTCCTTTCTTTTCTAACATATTGGCAGCTTTATTTTAGAGAAATAAAGTGTGAAACAAAAATGAATGTGAACACTAAATCACTTTTTTACTTGAGATGTGTGATTTAAGGGCCCACAGCAATCATTATGCAAATCTATCGGCTTCAGCTCAGCTTTGTCTATTTAAAAATGGGAGGAGGTAGAGGAAAGGGAGAGAAACTTACTCAAAGTGTAGAGAACTACTGTAATAACTTTCAGGGCATAATTGGGCCTTAATTTGGCTTGCAGTCTCTCATCATTATTTAATTCATTGTCATGAACTTCTGAACTCCTCTCATAAGAATGCCATATGGAACATGGGAAATGGTCTTCCAGCTGCTAAGTCTAAGAATTTCTGTATACAATATGCATCGAGCATTCAGAGTTCTTGCTAGATCAGGGTCCTTGGGAACAGTCTTAACTGGAATCCATCCCATGACAGATTTTTGTTATGTGGAGTGCAGCAGCAACAGCTGCTGTTGCCTTTCCAAATTCTTGATCATGATAAGACCTGATCTTAAACAACAAAAAAGAATTGTGAAACATTGTGAAGCATTTTTTTCTAGAACAAATTAGATATCAGCCTGAAAGAGTTATATTGAACATTATAATATTAATCAGTTGGAGCTTTCCAGTCAATCATATTTAGAATAGACCCGCCAAAAATTAATGGGATGTAAATGCTATTAATGGAGCCATTCTAGGTATAAAGTCATATTCAGTTATTAAAGCAGTACACTGACCACAGGTAGAGGAAAGATCTGTGGTCCTGCCCTCTCTGTTTTGAATTTTATCATTCACCTATACACAGAAGGTGGTAACTCTAAAGAGAAGAATCCCAACCCCCATCCATGGTGTCTCTCCATGTGAATTGGGGTTGTGAAGACCCCTCCCACACGTATAGCAGGGCTCTTCTCTTTGAAGACCTGACTCTGTGTAAGGGAGCAATGAAGTTAGATAATGGAGAAGGATGGGTTCACAGTGCTTCCCACAAGTTGGGTTAATGTATCTGCTCTTATAATATCTGAGTAGGGCTATAGTCCTGAGCCAAGTTACTGTTTAATATGCTTTATGTATTCTTGGTATTTAGATCCAGGTATAATCTAAACCAAGTCCCTTATGAATACACAGTGGAAGTGAAGAACAGATTTAAGGAACTCAATTTGGTGGACAAAGTGCCTGAAGAACTATGGATGGAGGCTTGAAACATTGTACAGCAGGCAGCAACAAAAACCATCCCAAAGAAAAGGAAATGCAAGAAAGCAAAGTGGTTGTCCAACGGGGCCTTAGAAATAGCAGAGAAGAGAAGGGAAACAGAATGCAAGGGAGATAGGGAAAGTTACAGAAAATTGAATGCAGAATTCCAAAGAATAGCAAGGAGAGACAAGAGGGCCTTCTTAAATGAACAGTGCAAAGAAATAGAGGAAAAGAATAGAAAGGGAAAAACCAGAGATCTGTTCAAAAAATTGGAGATATTAAAGGAACTTTTTGTGCAAAGATAGACATGATAAAGGACAAAAATGGTAGGGACCTTACAGAAGCAGAAGACATCAAGAAGAGGTGGCAAGAATACACAGAGGAATTATACCAGAAAAATCTGGATGTCCCGGACAACCCAGATAGTCTGGTTGCTGACCTTGAGCCAGACATTCTGGAGAGTGAAGTCAAGTGGGCCCTAGAAAGCATGGCTAACAACAAGGCCAGTGGAGGTGATGGCATTCTAGTTGAACTATTGAAAATCTTAAACGATGATGCTGTTAAGGTGCTACACTCAATATGCCAGCAAGTTTGGAAAACTCAGTAGTGGCCAGAGATTAAGCATTTAAATACATACCTCTTGAACAAGTGCTTTGGCAGATGATAGTGTCAATGATGGTTTTTCAATAGGCTTTCATGAGTGTGCTTACATATTATTGCTGAGATCCAAAGCAAAGAATTCCCTAATGCTAGATAGGAATTTCAGAACCACAGTGATGTTACACTGACTACAATATTCTGGAATAGCATTATAGTAAATGAAACACTATCTTTAAATTAAGAACTTCAGTTCATATTCCTTGGAGGTATCAAATTATAGTCATGCATGTCTGATTCTATCAACACTTAATTTTATGCACATATTATTTCCTGTTTCTACAGCCCTTGATAACTTTCCTGCTCTTTTCCAGGCCATGCTAGCTAGAAGATTCTTGGAGCATTTTTCCATGCTGTGAAATAGCATATATGACACCCCAAATCAAGGTTCTGTCTGCACCCTCCAATTCATTCCTCTGTACTCCTGCTAAGAGTCAGAGCAGGGGTAGTGAAATGTTGACCCTCCATGTGTTATATACTTCATCTCCCATAATTCTTTAGCACAGGCTATGCTGGATGAATGGATGGGAGGCAATGCCCAACAATATTTGGATGTCTAACAATGTGGCCTTCATTTCTGGCTCTATAAATTGTTTTCCAGACAGCTTTTTGGAGGCTTGCACAGCCCTGGAATGAAGAGGGTGCAAGATTTATACTATTAAATGAAAACAGCAAATAGCAGAGAAGGTACCATGTATCACTGAATGATCGGAGACTGACATCATCACTAGACAAAAAGGCCCACTCAGTATCTGCATCACTGATTTTTACCAGTCCTGAGTCTACATTTAGGGATTACATGTTGTTATAAGCTAACAAATGCCTGATGAAACCACACAGATTGGTTATCCATTAGCATCATGCAGTGGATTTGTTTCTGCACCATGGCTACCTAAAGGCTATGACACTTGCTGTACTTCAAACAGTTCACTGATGAAAACTGGGGCATTTTTATGTGTTTAGAATACCATTTTCTTACACTAGTAGTAAATTCAGCAGCACCCCTTATGGATACAATGATATATTGCTGAAAGTTCTCTCTATCCTATATGCTGAGGGTGGATAAGAATTTTCTTTTTCAATCTAGTTCTTGTAATAAGTTACTGCAATTCACCAATTTCTTCCTTTTTCAGATGGAAAGAATGTATGCTGCTGCTGTTGTAAAAGAAAACTGAAGCAGTCAGTTATCCAGCCCCAGATTCTAGAATGCTGAATTCTCAAATGCTTGGGGTCTCTGTGCAGTTAGTGCATACAATGGAGTTATGTAGGAAGTTAACACTACAGTAGGCCTATTAAATCAGTGGAAATTTAGTAAGTCAGCTCCCTCATAAATTATATTGAAACAGATGGGATTACTCTTGCTATAACTTACTTTTGCATAGTAAGTCACAACTAGAGAAGACTCTCTTCAATCAGTGGAACTTACAAATCCCCACTGATTCAATGGCTTAGTCCAAGTTATAACACTAAGCAACAGGATTTCAGCCTAAAATAAGTAGTGATTAGAGATGGGGGTATTTGTATATGAATATCCCCACACAGGTGGAAATAACGAGGGTCTGGCCCCATGGAGCCAGACTGTCCACTCATAATTTCACCACTGATGTGAGCTCGTTGGACCTTTCTGTCATGCCATTGTCTGCAGTCGATTACCTAGTCCTGGCAGGAGGTGGGATGACAAGCCTCTCTGCTAGGTCGGAGAGTGGCTAATCCATTGCGGAGAACAGCACAATAAGAAGCCTCTGCGGAACAGGGACAAAATCATGAGTGGACAGTCAGGCCTCATGGGGCTGGCCCCTCATGATTTCCACCTGTGCGAGAGTATTTATATTCGTATATGAGTACGAATACTCCCATCTCTAGTATTGATTGTTATTTTCTAGTCACTCAAAATAAGCATATTGGGCTAACTGGAAGTGTAGAAGAGATTTAAAGCTTCCTCACCCACTAAAAAAAAAGAGAAACTCTCTGAAAGGCCCCAATCTATGCAGCGGCTTTAAAAGTCCATGCTGTTTCACTGAGTACTTAATGCAACATCCTTCTACACATTTAATATAGTGCATAGCTTAACCCAAAGGCAAGCTTTATAGAAGCTGCAAATAATAACATTAAAATAAAGAAAAGCTAGCTAGGAAATACATTGTCAAAAGCATTTCAGACATTCCACGGATTAGTCATTCCCAAAATAGTATGATAACATTCTCAGCCATTTTATTGGAATGACAGAAACATAGGATACATTCCAAAGTTCAAGGGCTTTAAAGTCCTGTTAATTTTAATAAGTCAGAGATCAGCCTGTGCTTAACTTTTGGCTGGTTCCTGATCCTAGCAACTTAAAATGAACTTCGTCAATTCCTCTGATCTTTCTACAGCTATCTGTGCAGCACATTCCACACAGTGAGCCAAACTCTGTTCTCCGCTATGCCCATAGTGCCGTCAAAACGAATGGAAATATTAGGAAGGCAGGTGGGTTTGGTGTCGGTCCAGAATACTGGAAAAGCAAACCATGCCAACCTGTACGGTTGTTAACTACCACTGTGTCCAGTGGTGCTCACTCTCAGGTAAGCAGGGCTGGAATCACACAATTAAAGAGCAAGGAAATGTCCCATTTATTAATCAGATAATGGGGTCATAAGATTTGATTTGGATATTGCAGTCCTAAGTCACATAATGCAACCGTCTGAAGAAAAAACCATCTACATGGTATTTAGACAGCTGTTCAAATTGTGCTCTTTGACTCACATTTTCACTTTCTCTGTGTGCTTCCAGCTGGCAAAGGCAAAGTCTGAGGGGGAATGGAGACTCCGCCAAAGACACGTAGACTTTTGTGTGGGGATCAGCAGAGGGAACGGCAAATACATACACAAGAGAAAAGCTTAAGCAGCATCAGCTTCCAGTGTCAGGACAGAAATAAAGATTTTGAATGCTGTTTTTAATTCTGCCTTAAAAAAAAAAAAACTGAACAGCGCCTTTCAGTCATCATGAAATGCTTCTGGCCCACTTGGAATAAGTTTCTCTATCATGCAGTTATGTAGGCATTTCCTCCATTTGTGCATTTATTTAGTAGCCAGAACTTCTTGAAAAATTACTATGCTCAGCTTCCCTTGAATCCCCCAGCTAAGACAGCCGGTGGATGTGCCGGCTGAGGAATTCTGAGAATACTAGTCCAAAAAAAGTAATACTTCCAAGCTCTAATGATACCCTACCCTTCTTTAGAAAGTCCAGGGTTGCTGATATGAAGCTCACAGTAATTTCCTCAAGCCGTATCTCTCATGTTCAGAATATTGCTAATATTACCAGCCATTACAGAAAAAGCTTTTGTAGTCCCCTGTTTTGTAACTCCTGGCAGCTGTTTGCCCATTGGAACAAACAGCTGTGTACTTTATTTTGGACCACAGGCAGAGTGTATTTGACAATTTGGATAACGGTCAGGGCCAGCCCTGTCATTGGATGGAGTGAGGCAGCTGCCCCAGGCTGAATGTTTTTCATTATTTAATATGTATTTATTGCACGTTTTTCTTCATGATAGGAATAAGCACTAGTGGGTTTTCCTGCCTCATGTGACAAAAAATATGGATGAATTTGGGGTGGCAGCATTTGCTCTTCTTCCTCAGGAGATAATTGCCTTGGGCTAGCCATGATAAAAATGCAGTTGGTTCTACCGTTAGAGAGGAACTTCTATAGTTTGCCAGACTAATCACAAAAAGATACAAATGAGTGTAGACGACTTTTTCCCCTGTTTGCACCTATCCAAAGATCAGTTGAGCAGTCTTCATTGTTATGCACAAAAAAGTTACTTCCTACTGATGATGACCCTAATCAGGGTTTTTCCGGTATGTGAAGAGAACTGGTGTCCTCTTTTTAGATAACAGAACTTCCTGAATATTTTGCATCTTGTATACTGACCTTTGCAGCTATGACTGTAATCCTGCAAAGATTCACGCTTCACTTCTAATGCTGTGTATTTAAATGCTATGAAAGAAAAACACATGTAATGCTAAGCAGCTGCTCTAGATTATGCTGAAAGGAGAAATGGGCCTGTAATCCTGTTCGCTATTTCAATCTAGCGTAATTATGTGCAGCTGTGTGTAGGGTGGCAGCCAGTGCCGCACTCCTAACAAGAGCTAAGATTGCAACCATGTGCCCAGTTTCATATGTTTGAAAGGTTATTACAACCTGACAACATAGACATGATTTTTAGGTTAAATGGCTGGGTGATTTAGCTAGTCACACTAGCACTGAGTCCAATTTGCCAAGGATGCTGCTATTTAACACAGGTTAATACAGTCATATGGGACAGCCATTGTCTTGGCAGATAGATGTTTCATTACTGCCGGAATCTCTCATACGTATAGCTCCTATTCATGATATTAGTCTGCAAAATAGCAAAATTTCAATTTTGTAATTAAAATAAATTGGAAAATTGTTCCGATTTACTTAATTGAATCATTGTGCTTTTTAATTTTTTAAAAAATATCTAAGCTAATTTCCCTCCCCTCCCTTTAATATGTTGTTCTTACATGCGATCAAGTTACCACCAACTTATGACAACTCTATGAATGAATGGTATCCAAAATATCTTGTCCTCAACAACCCTGCTCAGTTCTTGTAAACTTAAGCTTCTGGCTTCCTTCAGGCAGGCAGTACATCTAATATTAGTCTTCCTCTTTTCCTGCTGCCTTCAGCTTTTCCTATCATTATTGTCTTTTTCAGAGAGTCTAGCCTTCTCAAGATGTGCCCAAAAATATATCACCCTCAGTTTTGTCATTTTTGTTGGCAGTGATAGTTCAGACTCTATTTGGTCTAAGATCCTCTTGCTCATCTTTGTGGCAGTCTATGGTATCCACAAAGCTCTTCTCTGTCACCGTAACTCAAATGAATCGATTTTTTCCTCTGTCAGCCTTCTTCCCTGTCAAGCTTTGTACTGCATGTAAAATATGAAGTCTGTTTTTTAAAAGGCTCTCTGGGGCATTGTCCTCTGACTTTATTAAATGATATATGGGGTGGGAGTAAGGGAACATCTACAATATAAAGAGGCTATAGAATAAAATATTAACCAAGTCTTCCATTGCCTGCTGTAGCAAAGGCTACTGTGAAACAGAGCAAGGACTGTTTCTCCTCCTCTAGAGGCATGCATTTCCATGCTGCACAAAATAATCTCTCTGCAGATCACATAAATTAGTCACTAGTGGCCTGATGGACTTGCATTCATAAGAATGCAAGGTTTTATTTTTTAAAATCTCAATGGGACCTCTGACCAAACTGCTAGGATTCTGGGATGCCACTGGAATATAAAAAGCATTATCACACCGCTTCGCATCTATTTATGCCATCCTTTCAAACCACAAGTCATCAAGAGAGTGGCTGGCAGCTGTTACCCATACTGTTGACCCATTTAATCCCATCTTTGCCATCCATTCACAGTGTGCGCTTTCAATGAGATGTTATCCTAGTAGAGTAGTGTTGCTCCTTTTAACTAATCTACACAAACACTGGAGAAATCTATGTTCATGTTTCTTAGAGTCAAGTAGTGCTAAAATATGAAACATCTGACAGTTCTGATTTTTTTAAAAAAATATAATTTATATTCATCTTAGAACTGCAGAGGGATGTGGTGGTGCTGCGGGCTAAACCGCAGAAGCCTGTGCTGCAGGGTCAGAAGACCAGCAGTCGTAAGATCAAATCTACGGGACGGAGTGAGCGCCCATCGCTTGTCCCAGCTCCCGCCAACCTAGCGGTTCGAAAGCATGTAAATGCAAGTAGATAAATAGGGACCAGTTCGTTGGGAAGGTAACAGCGTTCCGTGTCTAAGTCGCACTGGCCATGTGACCACGGAAGATTGTCTTCGGACAAAATGCTGGCTCTATGGCTTGGAAACGGGGATCAGCACCGCCCCTAGAGTCGAACACGACTGGACAAAAATTGTCAAGGGGAACCTTTACCTTTACCTAGAACTGCAGAGCTGGAAGGGATCCTATGGATCATCAAGTCCGGCCCCTGTCAGGGAAGGCACAGTGGGAACCAAAGTCCCACCCTCTGGCTTCACAGCCAGAGATCTAAACTACTGAGCTATCCAGCAGTTCTATAAAGTGTATTCTTCTGAATAAATGGCAAGTCTTCTTTCTTCTTGTATGGAATGGAAAAAAATAACGTAGGAAGCTGCCTTATACTGTGCCTAATCATTGGCCATTTGGCCCAGTATTCTGGCACTGACGGACAGCATCTCTCTATGGCTTCCGATAGGATTCTTTTCTAGCTCTACCTGAAGATCTTGGGGACTCAGCTCTACCATTGAGATATGACCCCTAAATACTCAAGCTTTGCTCACTTTGGTTTTGGGCCATATTCGTGAGTTCTAGCATGGTTCTCCAGAAGAATCAGTCTCTAGATGGCACTGGGCTGCAACTCCCATCATCCATATTCAGCAAGTAAAAGCACCTATCAAAATATTAAACATACAATAATATGAAAAAAACCTTGCAATCTGAAAATGGTTTGAAAACACTTTCAAAACACAGCAAAAAAAACACAACACCAATAAATGAAAAGCATTTCATGCTAAGACTTTTTTCTGTTTAATGTAATGACTAAAAGCTTGCATAAAAAGGATGATCTTTGAAATGTTGCAATTTAGAAATACAGTAAACAATACTTTGAGGTGGGAAAATTGCCACATGTTATTGAATCACAACTCCTACCACATGTTGCAATTGATCGTGTGTTTTTGACTCCAACTCCCATCAGCTTTAGCCACCCTAGTGAATTGAGAGGAATGCTAGAAATCACAGTCCAACTCAATTGCAACTCCACTGCAAATGGATTTTTATATACCTGACCTTTGAAATAATATAAATGCAGCCCTTATTTTATGAATATTTGATTATTTCTACAAGATGTTTTACTTCATAAACCTAGTAGTGAGGGGAGAAGGAGAGAGAATGTATGTGCCACTCTACAGCTGGAGAGAGAAAGAAAAAGAGAAACCTTCTCTCAGGTTTATGGTCTAAACGGTGAGCTGCACCTCTCTCCCAGGCTCCATCTCCTCCTCTCCTAACCCTCTTCTGCATACATCTTCAACACTGCCCACTTTTGCCAGACTTGGAGCTTGAAGCATTGGTTTAGCATTTCAGACTAGAGAGGTTTGAATCTGTATATTTTTCTTGCTCTCTCTCTCTCTCTCTCTCTCTCTCTCTCCCCTTCTCATGTCCTCAGAACTTCTCCACTTCCATTAGTTTGATCTCTTCCTCTCCTAACCCTCTTCTGCATACATCTTCAACACTGCCCACTTTTGCCAGATTTGGAGCTTGAAGCATTGGTTTAGCATTTCAGACTAGAGAGGTTTGTATCTGTATATTTTTCTTGCGCTCTCTCTCTCTCTCTCCTTCTCATGTCATCAGAACTTCTCCACTTCCATTAGTTTGATCCAGTTACAGTCTGCTGTGGCACTTGGCCTATCAAGGCACCCTTTATTTGGAGGTCTGTCAAATCAAATCAAAGCTGCAAGAGATTCAAAATATAGTATACAAACATGGTTGGGAAGGCATCTGCATTTCCTATTCCAGGTTGGGAGCCGCAGAGAATACTGGTGAAGTTCAGCAGAAGCCTAGGTACAAAAGAAGGGTCATGGTCAACTCAATGTGGGCTTGGATGGAGAGCATCAGATTAGAAAGAATCTATTAGATTTGCTTTCTTCCACATCTGAATTCTTCTAAAAGCGTCAGGTTCTTTCCACCTCAAAGATAAACAGTTCTGATACCAAAATCAGCAACAATATGAAATTGGCAGAATATGGGGCTCACTTTCAGTAAAATCAAGTTTTTAAGCAACGTGAACCGAATTTTGTAAACTGTTTTAGTGACTACAGATATTATTTTAATTTTTTTCTATTAGGGTTTTATTGCTAAATCTCTGTTTAATTATGTTTGCTGATTGCCTTAAAATACTCTTTTTTAATGGAAAG